CCCCACACTGAGACCCTCCTGGACTCGGGGACAGCCAAGCTCTTCATGGACAAGGACATGGCTTCTTGGCTCAAGATCTCCCTGGCTCGGCTGGACCACGTAATACCATTCATCTCTGTGGACGGCCCTCCACTTCATCCCTTCCCTGTCACACACCAAACCCAACCATTCCAGATGACAATAGGAAAACATCAGGAGACCATTCAGTTCCTCATTGTCATGGCCCCTTCATCACCTCTCATTCTGGGCCATTTCTTGCTCCGCTTAAATGACCCTCATAACTCCTGGTCATTGGGCCGGCTGCTCACCTTGGATGCCAACTGTGCATCACTGACTACCATTGTTCTTCCCACCAAGCTCTTTGACCAAGGGAGTCCCAACCAGGAAGCCATACCCACTCAAGTTGTTGGAGACTTTGACAAACAAGAGGCCGCCGTTCTTCCACCTCATTTCTCCTATGACATGAAAAACCAATTGGCTATTACCCTCGCAGGCACCTCTTCTCTCTGTCCCCTGCCAAAACCAAAGCTAGAGATGACTGCATCACTGACGCCCTCCCTACTAACACAGAAATTCGCCACAACGTCGCATTTTGCGACGTTTCGTTTGTGACTTAGTGACAACATAGCTGCTACGTTTTGGTTACTATGTTCCACAGGGGGCGTTGTTGGTACACTACAACGTCTTCCGAAAGTCGCTTTACAGCTTCTGTTAAATGTCCTCTCTGTAACTTATTTGGCACTTTGAATAACAACGTTGCTGCTACATTGTTACGTGATAACTGTAGTTCCAGAATAAATACAATTTAAGAGAGATTTTATCATCAAATTAGAATTTCAGCTTGTCCATATTGTGATTCTAATCTGGATTTTGTTAAAATTAAAAATGTTTTCCTCAACACACATGAAAAATAGCACACAAAGCTATAATTTAATTTGGTCTTTTAATGCTTTGTTTTTTATTGTTATTAGAGTTTTGACAATAATTAAATAAACAATTAGTAGTTGCAGTACTTGAATCATGTTTATAGCTAAAATGTCTTTCTAATTAAAAGAAAAGGAACAATGGGACTTTTTTTCTATGAAAAAAACTTTTCTAAACTTTGTTTACTGGAAAAAAAACCGTGTTTGCATTTGGCAAAAACAAGTTCTGAATACCAAAATGTTTAAGGAGGAGCTACTGGAGTAAAGCACATTCACACAGACAAAAACATTAGTGCCTGTCTTTTGGCATCAAGAGATAATAAAAGTTTAGGGTTAAATTTCAGTTTTCAACATTTTGTGTGTGTGTGTGTGTGTGTGTGTGTGTGTGCGTGCGTGCGTGCGTGTGTGCGTGCGTGCGTGCGTTTTCTTTGAAGATTTCCTCTTACAGGCCCATGCATGTAGGTTGACCTTAACCTGACTCCAAATGTGCCTGATGATGTGTCACTGTGTTGTTGACTTCGCCCAACAGTTAGGTATTCAAGTAGTTTATCATTACTTGACCAATAACAGCAGGAACACTCCCGTGTTGGAAACCTGTGTATATTTTGAATCTCTTCTTAGTGTCAGTGTACATTTTCTGTAAGTACATGTAGGAGGCAATAATACTCCCATGACCCAATACATATGCATGTTAATTTCTACTTTAAAATGTAGTTTCCAAATACTGCTTTTTACTTGTCTACAAGACATCAGTGTGTCAGATGCTGTAGCGAGTTTCACAAACTGTAAATGAGGAAGTAAACTTTAAATCTCGTGGATGAATCCCAGCCCGATTTGTTTCTTAAATTTGTGAAACATGACCCGCACTTGTATAGCGCCTCTCAGAGTAAGGACTCCAAAGCGCTTCACACTACAGTGTATCATTCATCCATTCACACACTCATTCACACACTGGTGGTGATGAGCTACGATGAATGTAAGAACTTCTCTTAGTGAGCCACGCCAGCAAAGAAAATAAAAACAGAGACACCCCATTAAACTAAGTGCGCTCGCTCTTGTCCTGTTCAAACAAAAAGCCTCGTAAAGACGAAACAAAGTTATGCAGCAAGTATGTCAAGTCTCGTAAATGCTTTCCTGGATGCTCGGAAAAAACAAAGAGAGCATCCTCTAATAAAAACAATCCAAAAATTATCATTTTTCTGCATCAACCAAACAGGTATTTTAAGAAAAATACACTATAGCATCTAAAGGGAAGTAATGCCACTGAAATTGTAAAAATGTATAATGCTTTTGTGTTTTTGCTTTATATTTTATTCCTATGCTGTCTTTGTTGTTGTGTTTGAGTCTTTTGCTCTCCTGTACAGCACTTTGGTTAGCTGCCATGCTATTTTTAAATGTGCTTTATAAATAAACTGGTGGTAAAATGAAGGAAAATCACTGCTTCGGTTATATTGAATTCATGGATTTTTGTTTTGTTTTTATTATTATTGTTATTTCTGATGAGATCTTGTCTGTGACAGTGTTCTGTCTGGTTGGGGTTAAGGGGGTAATTATATGACAGCACAGTTCAGCCCTATAGAGCCTGGAGGAAGCACAATCACTGCTGACTGGAGTTTCCTGTCTACAAGCAGCAGTAGCACAGAAGGACGGAGAGGCAAAGAGGACTTAAAACTCTTTCTGAGATTGAATCAACTTGGTCCGGTTGTGTATCTGGTCCTGGCCTGTACGGAAACGCCGTGAGAGGTGATCGAGGCTGCAGACAAAGAGATTTCTGCGAGCTGTCTGCAAAATCCCCAACATCTGGTCGGCCAGAGGACGGGGCGAGCCGAGGAAGAGGAGCGGCGCTCTGCACACTTACCTCCGCTCAGGAAAAATGCTCTGATTCTGGACTTTGATGTCACCTGCATGAGCCGAGGAGAGGTTTAGTGACCCCGAAAAGAGACGAGCTGGGCGGAGGAGGACCCGACAGGAGCTGGAGGGCTGGGGGTCCACCTGAGAGGAGATAAGAGATGAACTAGTCAAAAGTCTCGGCTCTTCAGAGTCCCAGCCAGAAAGAGAAGGTAAGATTTAATTCGCTACTCAACCTGAAAGCCGGTTATTATTGTTATTAAAGAGAAGCTGTGCAGAAAAAGTTTGAGAAGTTTGGCTTCAACGTGCAGAGACTCGTTTTTGAATAAACGCGCAGACACGTCAAGGTAAACAGACGTCGCTGTTAAGAGACACATCTGCTGGATTTAGGATTAAGTGCACATTCCTACTTAAACTTGATCCTCAATAAAGCTTGTATATGTTAGCGCTTTGTGCGGAGCGTGCTTTCTCCGCTTTCCAGAAACTTCTCCAAAGTTTTCACAAAGTTCTCACATCGAGTTTATTGTGTTTGCGTTAGAAGTCGTTCATCAAAACGACTATAATAAATATCTGGTCATGATTCGTTTTCACTAATTCGCAGTAGGCTGTCAAAGCGAATCAGTCAGGGGGCAGTGGGTGCACGTCAGGCGCGGGAGCGCGCAAACAGCTGGCTAGCTGAGCGGGCGAGGCGCGCGCTCATCCTAACCAGCACGTGATAGGAGAGTCTACTTAAACTGGTCTAAAACGTAAGTCGTGGTTCATGGTTCTGTGGCTATTAAGCTACAGAGCTGATAATAATGACGTATTTATGCAACTTTTTAATAAAAATTAATGAAGGTGTGATTTTCTCTACTAGTTTACGGCAAAAAAGTTGATGGGTTGAACAACAGCGGCATGTTGTCTCATAAATATATAAAACGTGCACGCTAATCTCTTTCAATTTACAGTATAACTCTTACATTTGATTGGAATCAGACTAAATTAATTTAACATTCAAAAATCTTTTTTTTCTTCTGGTCATTATTTTGTTGTTAGTTTCTGCTAGTATAAAATAATTGATATTTCTACCAGTTTTACTGTTCAGTTTCATAATTACTATGTGACTGTTATTTTTTATGATGAACAAGAAAGATCAAATAAAAAACGTAAACACATCTTCATTTCCTGTTTACATCCATCCTTTCTCAGGGGAAAAGGTGAAAAAGTCCTGAAGGAATTATAAATTCAACTGTGAACTGAACAAAAGAAAACAAACAAGCCCCTCACTGTTAGAAATTACCAGCATTTCACATTAATTTAAAGTAATATTTTACAGTAATTTATTGTAATTAAGTTTCCCTGTAATAACCCATTGAATTAATGTAAAAATAAAATATCCTTGGATTTTACAGCATTTAACTCCTATTTTACAGTATAATCTTGCCATGTAAAACCATCTGTAATATTACAACCAGGAATTTTATTTTCACAGCAAAACTGTAAAAAGTGCACTGATTTCACACCATCAAACTGTAACATTACAGTAAAATATTGACTTGGAAGTCACGTGACACAGGCAGCCTATATACTGCCAGAACAATGAATGACGGATGTAACATATAATGTTCATGAAATTTAAAGACATAAAAGTTCAAAGATGAGCTGATTTTTGTTAGGTGGTAAAAGTTATTTTACATTTTGTAGTGGACTACAACTCTTGAGTTGCCTTTTCTGGACAAATGTTGGAGCATTAAACGTTCCAGAAAATTATTGCTTTTTTCCGTCCGGCGGATCCACGGGCAGACTGGAAGGGGAGGAGACTTCCTCTAACCGAACTACTAATTTGAACTGAAGGCGCGAAATCCCTCTTTCCCTTTCTCCGCCGGTGAAGAAGGTGAGCAACTTTGTTTTTACAATGATATTTACTTTTTGTTGAACGTTTATTGCATGCCGCAGATCATATATATTGTCTTTAAAAATGTTGCATCGAAGGCTGCATGTGGAAGTTGGTCTACCAGCTCAGGAACGTTTTTTAAGGGGGAGGGGGGGGGGGGAAGGCGCGGCTATCTATTGTTGATGGAAACAATGGGGGGTTGACAAATGAAACATGATGTGCCGTGAGGCAAAGCGATGTCAGACCCATGATTTACCGCAGAGCGGAGCGGGTGCAGCTTGGAGCACTTCTGACGTGTTGCGCTCCACTTTTGTATGCAAAAACGCTCAAAGATATTGCCAATTAATGCTGCGTTCACACTGGCCATAACGTATACGTCAAACAGCGCGCATAAAGCCCCGTATTTGAAGCCCTATATTTTTTTTACTTTGGCCCTTGTAACGTCTGCCGTAACCGTTGGCTGCTGCCTCAGGAACCCCCCTGCTGCAGGGGGGAAAGAGCGCGGGAGGGGCTCTCTAAACTTATCCAACACGCAGAGTTCTTCACCAATCTTTTTCCAAACGAAGTCCTAGTTATGCCGATCTGTTTAGGCATGACAGGAGGGGCCATACGGTTCGCGGTGATTGAATACGACGATAAGTTTATGCTCTATGGCTGAAATTCTTAAATGCTTGTTTTTTTTTTCATGGAATCTGGCTCGTAGTAGTGATATGACAACAACAGGCGCTCTGATTGGTTGCTGCTTGTAAAGCGACGCAGCTGAACGTTGAAGCTTGAAAAGTATCAAGCTTTGACGGAGCCAACGCTGTTGAATCTCATTGCAGAAAAATAATTAATTGCTGTGCATTCATTTTGCACATGTATAAGATATGTATAAGATACAGATAATTAATATGGTTAACAGATACAGATAATGCTGTACTCACTCATCCTTAGAAATCTCTGTCAGGGTGTGAACTTTGACTGTACTCATTATCTTATTTGATTTGATTGCAAGTATAACCAATGTACTGTCATTTTTGCACACTATAATTAATAATCCAGCTGTCATATCTGCACAATGAATGACTAATATATTATGCACATCAGACTCACTTTGATTATTACTGACTCACCTCGTTTAATCATAACTGAATAATCCCTCTGTTATTTTACACAGATTGGTGTATTTGTGTTTGTAACTACCGACTTCGAGATCACTGCTGCTATTTCCACTATTTATCATCCACATTTTCACTGTTGCCGCCACATTCATCTGGAATTCTCAACCTATTTAGATACTACTCCCAGATATACCCGAGTGCTTTCTTTTCTTAAATACTTGTTTTATTGTTCTTTAACTGCTTCTGCTACTCAACTGCTCATACTTTCATACACAAATTTCCTAACTGTGGGACAATGAAGGAATACTTATCTAATCCTTGGCTATGGTTTCCTCTTGCTCTGCAGTCCATTCAAGATATGTGTGATAAAGTAACTACAGAGTGAAAGGCACTCTGATTAGTTGGCGCTCATAACACTGCGTTTCTTTTTGTTAGCAATGTTTTTTTTAGTATCGGTTATCTACTTATCACTGTTATCTACAACATTCTGACCTAAAATTTGTGTTCTTCACCTTGCTTCCCTGTGTTGACTTGAGTATGCCTGTATTCTAGGTTGGACTGACATCTTGATACTTCTGTACCTGTGTCACACAAATTTGTAGTTCCTGTTGCTGGTGCGACTAAGGTAGTTACTGTTTTAATCATGAGCATTGCTGTTTGTGTTTTATTTCATTTTGATGATGAATAATAATTGTAAAAATTACTGTTTACATTGATAGAAAAATCTCAAAGTGCTACTGAAAACACACACATAAATAAATACAATTGTCTGATGAATTAATGCCTATTCTATGTAATTAATTTTTAAAAATCATTTTACGTATTCAGTCACAACAACCTGGGCAGAGAATTAAACATAAAAATGAAATAAAACTCTTGCGCTTATTTTAAGAGTACTTGATTTGGTTGTTCCTCCACAGCATTGAATGTAAAGACTCATTTCTTTTTGAAAAAAATCTAATAGTCTGATTTGGCTAAGTTATTGGCTTGAGGTTTTGAACTTTTGCCTCGCACAGAATATATTACTTCTCATAGGGAAATAACTGTTAAAAACAAAATAAAAATCTGTAAACGTGGCCCCTCTACTCACTATAGTCAATATATGCCTGTTAATTGTAATGCTAATACATTTTGTAACACATTTTAAAAGATAGCAGGCCACACAGGTGCCTTTATCTATTTTAATATTGCCTATATAAAAATCCGGGCAATGGCCAATACCAAAAAAGGTTAATATATTGGCCTGGTATACCTGTCTGCCTCTACTGCACATTTTATAATTATATGTACGCTGTTTTAAACATAGGCTTACTTACAATGATCACAATGTGCATGCAAACTTAAAATTGTATTGTTGGTTGCCTTTGTGTAATTTCTTCTTTATTTTCTTTCTAGATCACCAGAGAGCGAGGCTGACCACACTGTAAGTGACTAGTTGACATGCTTCACAATGTTCAACTGCAAATTGGTTGGGTGTGAGCATGTCTTTAGGAATGTCCATAGCTATGTTCAGCACACCAAACTGCATAGCAATGTCCCCAACTATCAATACCAGTGTGGTGTGCCTGATTGCTCATGGAGGTGCAGAAAACACACGGGACTGCAAATTCATATGTATAGGCAGCATAGGTCTAACCCGCAGACTGCGGGGAGTACACTGCCTGACACGTCAGCCCTACCAACTAATGCACCCTTAAAATGTCTAGTTGAGGTATGTGCATTTAAGTGCAGCACTTTGGCCTCTCTTATTGGGCATTTGAAGAAGCACATAAGTGGAGGATTAGAAACAAGATGTCCATTTAGGGATTGTGATTGCACATTCACAAACGTGTCCAGTTTTGCTTCACATATTTGTAGAAAACATAGGAGTGTTGAGGATTCAGTTTTAAATGATGTTGTTTTAGACAGGTCTATAGCCACAGAGCCATTGCCAGGAACCAGTCAGTCATATTCAGAACCTGCTGAGGAACATAATGAACCACAAATGCCATTAGTTGTAGATGAAAACCTCTTTTTCCAGAACCTTACACTTTTCTACCTAAAAATGCAATCTAAGCTACTCTTGCCAGCAACCACTATTCAGACCATCATTGATGGGTTTCAAAGTGCTCATGAACTTGGCCTGTCAAATTCCCTAAACATTCTAAATGAGAAACTAAAGGAACTCGGAATCCCTCAGGCCACTATAAGCAGCATCATTGAGGAAATGAACAGAGAGGATTTACTCTCACTCTATAACAGGGAAAGGCTCAATACCGATGCAAAGAGGAAGGCTGCTTTTAAAGAATCTTTTAACTATGTTCATCCTGTGCCTTTGCTCTTGGGCAATGATGATGATGACAAGGAGTGTTTTGCTCAGTATATTCCCATGCACGAGACCTTGGTGACACTTTTCAAAAATGAGTCTCTGCGTGAACAGTACACCATGACACGTTCACAGCCATCTGCTGATGCTGTCTATCAGGATGTGAAGGATGGAGAAGGCTTTCAAAGAAATCCAGTGTTGAAAGCTGACCCTTCTTCACTTGGTTTAATACTGTACCAAGATGCTTTCGAGGTTGTCAACCCCCTAGGCTCAGGGAAAAAAAAGCACAAGGTTTTAGCTGTTTACCTGACTCTGACTGACATCTTGCCTTACAACAGATCTTCAATTGATCAGATGCAACTTGTTCTCTTATGTAGGGAACAAGACTTTAAGTATTTTGGGGTAAACAAAGTTTTTGCCCCCCTGATTGAGGACCTCAAAATTCTGGAGCAGAGAGGTATCCTCACATCTGATGGCAATGTACTAAAGGGCTCTTTAGTTGCCATTGCAGGAGACAACCTGGGATCCCATTCTATTGGGGGATTCTTGGAGAACTTCAGTCGGTCTATATGGTTTTGTCGCTACTGTGAGGTGTGTAGAGATGAATTCCTGGCTAACCCTATATTGTGTGGTACAAAAAGAACAGCTCAATCATATGCATGTAACTTGCAAGAACAGAAAACTACTGCCACTGACTCTGTATGTGGCATCAAGTTTGACTCTCCTTTCAATCAGCTTTCACATTTCCATGTTTGCCAGCCTGGCCTACCACCATGTCTAGGCCATGACTTATTTGAGGGAGTCATTGCTTATGACCTGCCCTTATATATTCGCCATTTAGTTGAGGAGAATCATTTCACATACCTGCAGTTAAACAGGTGCAAGAACCAGTTCAGATATGAAGGTAATGATGGTAAGGACAAGCCAGCAGACCTCTCTCCCAGCAGCAACAAGCTAAGTGGACACGCAGTTCAGAACTGGTGTTTCCTTAGACTTCTCCCACTCATGGTGGGTGACAGGATTAAAGATCCCTGCGAAAATGAGGTGTGGCTAATAATTTTGCAGCTCAGGGAGATTGTTGGGCTCATCTGTGCACCGGTGATTACAGAGGGCCAGGTTGCGTATCTTAAAGTCCTCATAGAGGAGTACATAGTCACCAGGACGAGGCTTTTCCCCATTGCTCCCCTCAGACCAAAGCACCATTATCTGTGTCACTATCCATCTCTCATCATTCACTTTGGCCCACTTATACGACTATGGACACTGCGGTTTGAGAGCAAGCACACATTTTTTAAACAGTGTGCCAGAAAATTGCACAATTTCAGGAATTTGTGCAAAACTCTAGCAGAGAGGCACCAACTTCTACAAGCTTACTTAAGTGTGGGAAACTTGTTCCCTCCACTTGTACAAGCAGAAAAGGGGACTTGTTTCCATGTTGAAGATTACAATGACAGGATCAGGGCATCTGTTGCCAGTTGTCCATTCCAGTTACAGTCGGCAGTAGCTTGTAACTGTGTTACAGTCAAAGGCACAGATTACAGAAGGGGGATGTATGTATTATTACAGAACACTGATGATGGGCTTTTCATGGGGAAGATTATGCTCATTATTGTTGAACATAATCTTGTCATTTTTGTCTCCGAGAAACATACTTTTGTAAAGTTATGTGACACAGGCGTGTACTGTGACCAAGGAGTGATCCAAGACAAATATGTGTGCATTAAGCATGAAGATCTCCTCGACTACTATCCCCTTTCAGCATACAACGTGTATGATCAGTCCCTTATTGCTCTCCACCATTCTTTTCCAGAAGCAGTATGAGTAAGGGTGAAAATGAGGATACAGGATATGTGAGGAGAGATGTGAGTAGTAGAGCAGGCTATGTTGTCATAGCTGATATTTTTTTTTTTGGGTAGCCTTGAATACATTTGAATCTTTAATAGGTCGGTTTCACGTGAAATTCTCTTTATATTCTATATCCTGTATGCAGGGTAACTAAAAATTATTTGCAAGTAACCATCATAACAGTCAAAATGCCTATTTCTAGTTTTAGTTTTTTGCTAATTCCTAAGTAGTTTCCTGGTCAATAAAACAAAAACTGTCACAAAGTTCAATGTCTATTCTGTCAACACATAAAATACATTTAATTACTTTTCCAATCAAGATGTCCAAAAGTGGAGACAATAGTAAAAAATGGGTGTGATATTGACCTGTAGAAAGGTCTTTCGGCCAATGAAATAATGTGACGCTTTTGTGAATCCAGTCACTTTTTAAAATATTTATCAATAAAAACAGGACAGTTTCTTTTCTGAAATTTCTTACAAAAACAGTTTTCCCCCAAAGATTGTATTGGGACCTGCCCTCCAACTGCATTAGAATTACAGAATGTGAAACCCACCTATTAAATTTTTTTTATTGAACAGGCTATAGTAGAAAACATGAATACAGTTTAGGGATGGTAAAAATGCTAAATTACACAACTGAATACTTAATGAAACTAGGTTAAAGAAGCAGTGTGGTCATACTTGCCTGGTCTCCCTGGTGGCCTTCTGACCACCATGCTGGATGGTCTCGGAGTGGACTCTATTGAAGATCTCACCTTGTTGGAGGAAAAGGATCTGGAGAAATACCTCAAACCCATCCAAAGTCGGAAGTTGATGAAGGGAATCAAGGATGGTAATTTCCTCTTTCCACTCTTTGATGTCACTAAACTAGGGCTTTTGAACTTTGACACAAGCTGTACACAATACACATTGTATTAAAAAAATGTAATTGCTTCTCCCTTTGGCTTGAACATTGGCTACTGCATTTTGGTGCAATTGCATGATATTTGTACCATTACACATCACAGGCCTGGTTTAACAGCAACGTTTTGTGGGTTTGGGGATAAAGCCATCTGTGGGACACACTTGGCCAATAGAATGGTGTTATGCTGCGTTCACATCTAGGCTTTTTTGTTGTGCAGTACTTCCGTCTCGACCGCTTGAATGTTCACGCTCCGTTTTCATTCGGCGAGCAGCTGACGACCCCAACAAACGCCGAATGACGTCATACAGAGGCGCGTCTCCCGCCAGCCGAGAGCGGATTGCGACTCGAGGCAGGGCATTACCAGCCAAGAGCGAACACGCGCCCCTCTGTGCCTCCTGGGACAACCCACATTTTAGCATTTATCAAACTGTATCTGGGGGCTGGGTTAAGTTTTTCTTTCACCATATTCAGTTCCACTTTAAATAATTTTTCTTTGTGCCCTCTAGGACTTGTTACTCTTAATATGGAGTTGGTCTCTGCTCCTGATCCAAATGCTCTAAATTCCCAAACTCCAAGTTCCCCAAACACAACACTCCAGTCTCCAAATCACCTGTTGTCCAGCCCTCCAAGCACGCCACACGCCTCACAGCCAGGGGTACCATGGCATGTTGACTTTCATCTCAACTTGGACCAGATGTCATCAGCTGTTCGACGTAGAGTGGAAAAACAACAAAGACCATTACCAGACGAAAGAAGGGCCTTCGTGGTTGCGCTTGTGGACCAAATGATGCAGCACGACCAAAACCCATCCAGAGCCATGTGCTACAACGTTGTGAGAAACATTGTCAGGTAAGGATGGGATGATCAGGGAAAGAATTAGCACCTTCTGAAAATTTTAAATGTAAATTGGAAGGAATACATTGTTTTTTTTTTCTTACTTGAAATATCAAGTGTGCTAAAGCGCATGGCAGGATACACGAAGGTTAAACTTGGTTCTTCAAGTACATGAGTTGTAAATGTCTGTTGTGTAACAATAGTGCAATATTTTCTACTTGACTACTTACTTTCTAATTGTCTATTAATCCCACACATTTTTAGGAGACATCCAAAGTCATTTGCTGACATTGGAAAGTATGGTGATACTACAGGAGATGGCTGCTATTCTCTACTACAGCAAGTGAAAACAAGAGTGGAGTACCACAACAGAACCAAAACTCTTCTTCGACACCGCAGAAAACGCTTCACAGGAATCGCAGGAGAGATCAGACAAGAGAGAGGTCCTGTTGACCAGTACGGGTATGTGGCAATATACATGTAATATCTGTTAACATTTTATCAAAAGCATTGTATATGACCATGAATAAGCCAGAAACGGAACAAAACAAATTTTATTGACATTAACTTAGACCTTTTTCCAGCAAGCATGAGCCAATTTTAAAAGTGTTGTAAAGACCGCTAACCCAGCAGCAGCTAAATGTATGTGTTGCCCCACCCCTTGTCGAGTTTCCACGTTTTGATCTGGAACCTCTGCTGCAAACAGCGTTGGGAAGGAGGGGGGGCCATCTGGTAGGAAACATTGAGCGGATTGGAGGACCCCTCGAATGTCCGTCTACTTGCTACAATGGTTTGTCTTTAGCCAATCACAGCTAAGTGGTTCCTTTGACTCATTTTTAGAAGAGCGTGACTTAGGCCACCCGTGCCTACAAGGTGGAAGCTCCAATTCTGTTGGCAAAAAAATTTGGCGGTCAGTAGGAATGTTCAAATAGCAGGAAGGAGGAACTAGGAAGAATAACGAATGTTGTGGGGTAGAAAAAAACTATCATAATTTTGAAGAGAAATATCTTTTGAAAGATTTAGGTATCTTTAATATATACACAAACACTGTGGACTGCAGCTTTATTTGGATAAACAACATCAGTGTTTACAACACTTCTACACTGTAACATAACTTCTGTGACATAAGTCTGTTAATGCAGTCACAACTGGGAGTCAAACGGACCCTTTAGTCATTGCTCCAACTTCTGGGCTATAACTGTCCCTAATAGTAGTGTTACCCTGTGATTCCCCTTCTTAGGTGTGTCAGGTGGGGCCCAGTGGATTTCCCAGAGGGGGAGACCGAGGCATCGTTGATGAAGATGAAGAGGGATCTACTGAACATCTACTCAGGCAGGCTTTCTACTGTTGTTTTGGGTTATTTTGTTTGGAGTTTTTTCATTGGTCAAGATCTAAAAACTGTGTGTTCGGCAGCTAACAAGACCAAATTGTTACTTTGGTACTAACAATACATTTTTATTGTCTGTATACACAGAGGAAGGAATGAAAGGGGCGGAGAGAGCAGAACCAATGATGGAAAAGACATATGTCATCCTCCGGCAATACCTTAACAAAATGCCTGCTGCAGCAATGTCTGACATCAAAGAGGAGTGGCCCTTTCTCTTCTCTCAGAAAAGCCTATTCTCACATTTTGCTCTTTTGACGGACATCAACGTCCTTCAGAAACTACAGGTGGCAATAAGTCAACGAGGACAGACCATCCTGGATTACTGTTCAACACTGGACCATCCCAACATCAATGAAGTTATTGTCAACTACGCTCAAGACTCTGATAAGGCTGCCTCCATCCTGCTGGTCCTAATGTTGTACTTCAAAGAGCCAAAAGAATGTTTGGTGCTTGAAGTTGATGTAAGATTTTGTATTAAAAAATTTAAAATGCAAATTGAATGATTACATTATCAACTGTACAATTTATTAACTTTGACCAATGAGGAATATTTATACTCTATCCTAAATCTATGCTGCTGTGTGATTATGTTACAGCCATGTGCCACTGCCGTGGACATAAGTTCTGCAGAACTTCCCACCAGCCCCTGCTTGATCATTCAAGGTAATATTACTTTGATCCAATATTGACATTTCTGTCTTGATATAACTTGTTTCATTCTTGAAATCTAGATGAATTTTGTAGCTGAAGTAGAAAAAAATGCTCATATCAGTCTTTTCATTTCAGGTGACATGATGAAGCCCTCTGGATGGCTGATATCCATCGAGGGACAGGTCATGATGGGCCCACACCCGTTCTTTTTACATGGTGTAGCTGCATTGTTGAGCTGCTATTACGTCTTCAACATCGAGTATCCTGCCACTGGATCGTTAACACTGGAGTTCATTCAAAGGTATTTTATAAAGATCACATTTAAAGTGACAGTGTGTAGTATTTGTCATTAATTTCTGGAAATATACGTTGAAATGTTTTGCAAAATGAATCAAATGAAGCCCATTCATTGAAAAATACCAGCAACTTTGTGACAAATAACCATAAAAATCAGGTATAAAATACACACGCGAGGGTCCGACTCTCTGGAGGACGCCATGTTGGATTGTATGTTTATTTTGCTGTATTTATGGTTTTGCTGGAGGTTTTTGACTCCTTTGAAAACTGTGCAACAACACTCTTCTTCCTTTTCTTGTGTGTTATTTGGCGGGTGGCACTCAACATAAAAAGATGCATTTTTCACCAATTAATGTTTTGGAGGGTGAACCAGAGTCATTAATCTCATATCAACTGAAACTATCTTTGCTTTTTTAACAGGTGCTTCCTGGGAATCAACCCTGAGAGAGGGTCAAAGACCAAGAAGCGAACAGCAATCAACCCTCGTGTGAGCACTTTTTTTAGGAAGCTCATTGATTTTGAGTGGACATCATAGATTTTTGCAGCAGTACTCAGGCTCAGTTCTTCAGTGTTCGTTTTTTTTTTTTAGATAAGTTTACGTTAAATGTTTTCCTGTTCTATTGCCCATAATGTTAAAGACTAAGGAGCGCCTGACCCCATTCCCTTCTTCACTGTCTCCTTTCCTCTCGTGTTGTTGTGAGGGCCTCATTCCCTTTTCTCAGTGTTTTTCCTCATTTTAATTTTACAACTTGAAAGATTAATCTTGAATTCTTGGCTGTATAAAATATGTTGAATAAAATTTCTATAAATATGCCATTGGATTAACACTGACTTTACTTTGGCGACGGGGTTGTATTTGTGCAACGGTAGTACATTTAAAGCTAATGGAACCTCAGGATTACTTATTACTGGATTACTTATTACAGTACATTACTGGATTTTTTATTTTTATTTTCATACATTGTAAATTCACAGTAAATCATTGTGAATTTGTAAATAGTACATACTGTAAAAGTACAGGGCCTTGTTGTAATGAACAGCAAAAGATTGTAATTCCCCAGGAATGAACTGTAATAGAACAGTAAATGCTTTGTCATTAAAGCTGTAAAGTTGCAGTGTACAATTGTGATTTTACAGCAGTACATTATAATATCACAGCAACAAAATTACAGTAAATTGCTGTGAGTGCATGTAACAGTATTTTACTGTGAAAGCACGGCAAAAGTACGGCAAAATTTATCCAGTAAATTATTGTGAATTCACGGTGAAAATTTTAAGAGTGCTGTGTAGTGATTATATCAATGATCTGATTTGCCTCCAGCACTTCACTGTTGCAAGTCAGTCTCAGTGTTGAATTTAATGTGTATTCAAAATGGTTAAATGTTTCAGAGTCCATCTTTCCTTGCTGCCTCAGGCTCATTCACCTCCTCCCTAAACAGCCAGGCCTGTACGCCCATGGACGCGGAGAGGAGCGCCACTGCCGTCTCCAAAGAGCCTTCTGATAATGAAAACCCGGTTTTACTTCCAGCTCAAACAACCTCGAGCACAGAGGGAGAACACCGTTGTCCTAACCCAACCTCCTGTCCTGGTGACGGTAAGAAAGTGAACGCAAAAGAAAACACACCAGCATGCATCTTATTAAAGCAAGTAGCTGTTGGAAGACCTGCACACAGGTCTCTCTAGAAAACGGAAACAGAAGACGTGTCAGGACATGGTTTGGATCGTTGAATACAGTCACAAAGTGTTTGTTTCGATGAATTCTGGTCATCCAAAGGAGTGCTATGGAAAATAAGGATTTAGCAAAGGAGAAAGTTGCATTCCTGCTGTCTTTTTAGTGCCATAACAAAAACTGATCATAGAAAGTTTCAGTTTGACATATTTTTTGCAGACCAAATTATTATTATTGAAGCCCATGTTGGTGCACAGGACCTAATCTAAAGATCTTGTAGCTTTGCATGACTCATGATGCCGCAGTTGTAACTCCTTACAGTAGAAGTCAGGGTAGAGACACAGAGCATCAAGCAATGAATTATGTTTTATGTACAAGTCATAAAACCTAGAAAATATAAAAATTATGATTGTATTCAATGCTTTTTTCATATTTATTTTCAGTCAACTTGCTAAGCTCCAGAAAATTACATAATTTTAGCATTTCCGTTTTTTTTTCATAATTCCTGTGATTTGTAAAGTGAGAGATATATGTAGTGACAAAGCAGCAAACAGTTGTGTATTCAGGTGATGGTGCAGCCTTGGATAATACGAGGGGTCAAGACCAATTCAGCCCAGTGGAACGCTAAAAACTCCTCGATGGCACTCGTGGGGATTTGGGAATGAACCCATGACCTTCTCTCGTTGTGAGAGTTTAGTCATGGCAGAAGTTGTCTGAGACGGCTGGAAGGGGATGTGGACTCAGCTCAGGCCAGTTATGTGCCTGGATGACTCATCCTGGATTAGCCGATTCAAGTTGCCTCAAGTTTCACAGAGGAAGCAACTGTGCTAACTGCATATTAGAGTGCAGGTCTTATGGGGTATTTAGTGTAGGTGTGGTTAACAATCAGGGCAGTGTGCAAAGATTTAAGTGGCTTGTTGCCATGGGAACTTACCACAAATATTTTTGATGGTTGATGCCACCATTTTAATCCTCTTTAAAAAAAATCTAACTTGAAGTCTGAACTGCGGTCATTACTACATAGATTTGTTTTTCTAATTACATGAGCATCTCTGTTCTTGGTTTGGTCATGTGGCTTTACCACAGTACCACTGTAAATAATATAGTGAGTTATTTGTAATCCTTGATTATTACAGTTATTACAACACATTTTCTGCTCAAATATGTTCTTTAAAGCCACATTGTGTAATAAATTATCTTGTTTATCACCAAATTCTGTGTATCATGTTCACAAATGTCTTTATCAGTAATAATTCTCGCCAGTGTTCATATTAGCTTAAAATTTAACATTTTTACATGCATAAACTGTGGTCGACACTCCATAGTCATTCTGAGACATACAAGACATAATGCTCCACGTTTCGCATTTGCACTTTGATTTGAAAGTTTTCCTCCTCCCTCTAACGTTGTGTGGGGTCTGGAGCTGGTGTAGGTACCGGATCTGCTTGGGCAGCCAGATTGGCTTGGGGTCCTGCACCTGCCGATGACATCACACTACGGCAAATCCACTATGCCAAAATACATTGCATCTCTTTTCGATATTCTTTCACACATAGGTTTTAGGGAAAGAGTTTAGCAGTTTTGTTATTAAATTCTTGTTAATTAGTACCTAAATGTGTTCTTCATAGTTGTACTTTGTTAATAAAACACCATATTGTCTTCATTTTGTAAAGAATTTGAAATGAAACCAGCAGCAGACTGCCAAAAAGCACAACAGTTTTTATAGCTTTTTACAGCTTGAGACAGTTATCCACACCTTCATCTCCTCACGCTTAGACTACTGTAACTCTCTTTTCACGTGTCTGAGCAAAATCTCCCTGAACCGTCTACAGGTGGTTCAGAATGCCTGTGCTCGGCTTCTGACCAAGTCCTCCAAACACACCCACATCACCCCGCTTCTCCTCCAGCTTCACTGGCTGCCAGTCACCTTCAGGGTTCATTTCAAGATCCTGGTTCTGGTCTATGGGGCCTTACATGGACAAGCACCATCTTACATTGGTGATCTTCTTAGTCCCTACACCCCCATCAGGTCCCTGAGGTCCAGTGACCAAAGCCTACTGGTTGTGCAGCACCAGGCGTGTCATGTCCCCGACAGGAGGTGTTAAAATGTGAAGGAGGGGGTAACATAAGAATTGTGACAGTGGATTTAAAATGGGGTTTAATTGTTATAAAAGGTTCAAAAAACAAGTGCAAACAGATGGCGAGCATTATTAAGATAATGCAAAACGAAAAATACTCTCATAAAGGTTAACATTAAAAGAGCAGCTACCAACATTAAAAACACCTGGTTAAAACTTATTAAAAGTTTCACCAAAACAGAAGGTGTTTCAAAATCCACAAAGTTGATAAAAGTTCTAAAACAATCTATTGACATCAAACACCTGGCAAAATGATCCGTTTGGATCACTTGGAGTTAAAACTATAATAGTTAAAACTCTTCAACTCGAAGGGGTTGAAACCAAAATGAGGCCTGGAGGACAGCAGAACCCCTGCACCGCTGCCTCCCAGACTGCTGAAGGCACAGCCTTTATATCCCAGGTGTGGGTCCTCAACAGGATTCAGCTCAGCTGTGCTCCTCAGCAGCCTGGAAGAGAGGAGGAGGAGGGGCGGTGTCAGGCTGATCACTGGGGCTAGGTGATCTTGGCTCCTGCATCCCACTGGCCAAGCTGGCAGCCGAAACACCCCCACACATAAAAGAAAAAGGATAAAAGTTAGTAAAAGCACACAGTACCAACTTTTTAAAACTTTTTCATTAAAAACAAGAATCACATTAAAAGCAAGAGAGCCTGCGACAAAAACAATAAAACAGGCTATCTGAAACCCTAGTCTTCATGCGCATCGCAGGCGGGCAGATTAAGCACATGTGCATATGCACATTTAGCCAATCTTCTATCGTACCGTCATCGGCAGGCGCAGGACCCCGAGCCAATCTGGCAGCCCAAGCAAATCCATTTGGGGAAAATCTGCTCCTGCAACTTTCTTGCTTGCCCTGCTAAGAACATGTAGTCGCTGTATTGAAAGCTGTAAGCCGTCTTTAACTGTGGCGGTGCATGCACGGCTGTGGGGGAGAGGGAGACAAGTGACAGATGCATTAGATATGGCAGCACCGGAGCGAGAAGACACAGCTGCTGCAAATTGTCTCTATTGTCTCTCTCCTGGTCCCTAAATAGATTAAATTGCAACAAACGTTGAAAGACTAAAAAAAAAATTATGTTATTAATGTTCGTGGACGCCCTTTGGTACTGATTAGTGACCTCACTAACTTCCGAAACAGTCATGAAATTCTGACGTCTTAGGGTTAGGGTTAGTCCTGCAAGGGACAATTTAGTATGGAGACACAACAGCTGAGAATACCAAGTCAGCGTATTTTCCCTGTCACCTTACCTTCTCCCAGAAATTTCCTGGGACTACTGTAGTGGAAACGCAGCTTATTCAACTGCTGTGCTGCAGAACTTCTAGTTAAGCACTCAGAACACTTACAAAAATAAGCCAATAAAGATTATTTTTTTCTTAGAGAACTAAAAACTTTAGAATAAGTCACAACATCTTGTTACAGTTCTATACTGCCGTTATTCAAAGTATACTCACCTCATCCATAATAATCTGGTATGGTAATTTGGAGTTCAACTCATGTCAAAAACTAATAAACATAATAGACAAATCACCAAAAATTATAGGCCACACCCTCCCTTCCACTGGCACACTGTACCATAGACGTGTCATACAAGAAGAATCATCTCGGACCCCTCTCACCCTGCATATCATCTTTTGGCACCGTTGCCTTCTGGAAGATGCTATAGGTCTTTGCAATCACAATCAACTAGATTCAAAATCTGTTTTGGGGCCTTTTCAGCTATAATGTCACTTAACCAAATATCTGCCTAAGTTGTGCATGTCTGTTTATTTGTAGTTACATTATCTGTAGATACAGAGGTGTGAGCATGCCATGCTGTACTAGAAAAAAAAATTCCACCAACTTTTTTTTATGGTCATTAACTCATTCACTGCCAGCCATTTCCTGATCAGAAAAGCCCTTCGTTGCCAGTGTTTTTCACTGCTTTTTTTAAGAGTCACAGAACGTTGGGCTCTATGATGATGTCAACGCCAAAACTACCAAAAAAACGAGTAGACTCACTTCTCATATCAGGAAGAATCTGCGCGTCTCGAGCGTTATCCGTTCTTTCATAATTCGTCGTCGAATTGTGATCGGCAGAAGCTTTTCCAGTTCGTGCCTCACTTTTTTTACAGCAACGGCCCAAAACGATCTCCTAACACATGGATTTTCTGCTTCCTGATCACGTGACGTGTGACTTACACAGATGAAGATCGGCTTTAGAGCTGGGATGTGCTAATAAATGAGTTAATAAATGAATCTGATCTAAAAATGTCTATAGAGCTCCGGGAGTTGACGTCACTTCTCCCGGCATGCAACAGTTCAAATCAAAACGGCGCCATATTGGCAGGTAGAAGCCGGCAACTGGAATATTTGTTATTGTCAGAAAACTGAATCAGACAGGAAATATGGTAGATTCCTGTTGTGCCCCAGGATGCAGAACAGACGCGGACGACATAAGGAATGAGCCATCTACAGGATTCCCCAAGATCCAGAGCGCCACAAACGTTGGACCATTGTAATAAAACGCACTAGTGACCGGGCTAAAATGAAACTGTGGGATCCCGAGAGTAAAGGTTTTCGCTTACGCAGCGACCACTTCATATCAGGTACTTAAACCAACGTTTCCTCAACTGTGTATGGTATTTATTTTAAATGCTTTTATTACGATTCTTAGTGGGCTTCCTAAACTTATTTTGGCGTGGCTTTTTCTGTCTTATTACTCATAGCAACAAGTAAACATCACGTAAAACGTTGCCTCATGATTTCTGCGTGCTGCCGTTTACGTGTTTTATGATCACAGCAATTAACC